AGAATGTGCAAGATTTCACTCGATCAGTGTAAAAACTTCAAAAACATTTCAAATATTAAAGGAAGACTAATTGAGAAATACATGGACGTACTTCAAAATCTTGCCTTGTTAAGTCAATTAATAATATATAGTACATACGAGTATATAAGGATCGCGATGAGATATTCATTTCATAAAATATATTTTATCAATAATATATATATATATATATGTATATATATATATATACTAGCTGACCCGGCGAACGTTGTTTCCCCTTGCAATTAATTTTCCTGGCTCAGCTGAGTTATAATATTTGTTGTTATTCAACTTAACCTTTAGCATTTTAATGCGAAAATTATTTTAAATTGATTTTTTCTTTTGAACTACAAAAAGTCCACATGCATTACTTATGTTACAAATATTTTCATGTTACTTCAAATCCTTATAAGCACTACATTTTAAATAAAAAAAAATATCAATGGATATTGCAAAGCGTCGTAAGAGCGATGACTGTCTGCAACCGTATGCACTGTGTTATCTCTGCGTTGTATTCGTATATCTCGACGTTCAAATGCGTCGCCAACCATAACAACTGCAACTTCATTAATAATCGGTGCATTATATCGGCCCGCGTGCTGCCCAGATGGTACTTTGATGACGATTGTATAGTTGTCGTTTAGCAGTCTGTTTGAAACGGTAGTGAACAACTGGACCAACTGGTTATGATTTTTTAAAAACGGTTCTAAAATACCCACAATTTCTTGCTCCTCCATCTGCTCGATATGGTTGTACTGGCAACGTGCGTTTATTTGCTGCTTATCATCACCCATGAAGTAGATTTGCAGAAATTTGGGATCATTATTGGGCATCAGCATTAAAGAACCAATTTGGTGATACACTTGACTCTGAATCTTAAGCGTTGATTGAAAATTGCGACCAATCTCATTCTGAACGATTTTTGTTGTTCCAAATGATGTCATTTGAAAGCACGAATTGAATTTGCGAATTTTACGAAAAAACAATTTAGATTGAGATGTAGCTCCAGCCAATAGTGCTTTCAATGGTTCTAGCGGCGAATTCAATGGTGGCAATACAACTTTTCCAGATACGCAGCAGAAACCGGCCGATTCACCTTTGTATTTGAGTGCATGACAGTGTTTGTTCATAGCACCGATTACAATTCGTGAATGTGACGAATAGTCGATATCCGACTCATATTCAAACGCAAGGCGATGAAATGATGCACGTGTCAATGCGCGATACACTTGCAAACGCTGTTTTTCACGTGTTCTGAATGTGTCGGTGACTCGTTGACGGGCCAGTCTTTGTATCAATGCATTAGCTGGAAGGCGTTCGTTGTGTTGCTCTTGACTTTCATTAGCACGTGTGATTGTATCCTGGTTTCTTACATTTTCATTGTTTTCTGCCGATCTATTTACCCGACGGTTCTGGAGTAATTGTGAATTCCGAGTCCGTCGACCAATATTTCCTCCTCGTCCACGAAGACGTGGCATTGTTTTTTGTACGTTATTTATATCTTTATATATATAATTCTTCTTTTTTGGGTGTGTTCAAGTCAATTCAAGGATGGTTTAGATTCATAATTTGGTCCACTGGATAACGTTTTTTTAATTATTATATTATTATTTTAAACTTTTTAAACAAATCAAAGTAAGCATGGATAAATTTTAAATTTCTAATATAAATGTATATGGATACCAAAAAATAAAAAATTAATTAAAAAGACATTATCCAGTGGGCCAAATTGTGAATCTAAACCTTCCTTGAATCCACTTGAACACACACAAAAAATTTTATCAAAATCGGTTCAGCCGTTTAGGAGAAGTTCACTGTCAACACACGTACAGAAGAATATATATATAAGATATATATATATATATATATATATATATATATATATAAATAATATCAATAAAAATATGATTTGTTATAAATAACAATTTTTTATTTAATAACGGCGTAGAACAAATGCCAACGTAAATACGGGTAACCATAATTAGCTTTAATTACAATAATTATCAACGCGTATATAAAAAATTAAAATATCGATGTAAAACTTTTTAATTAAATGGTGGTCAGCATTTATAAAAAACTAGCCCATGTTATGTATATATATATATAGCATATATATATATTAAATATTTTGATTGTAAGCATTTTTATTTTAAATTAGAAATAATAATAACAATATTGATCAGGTTACTCATTTGTTATAGATTAAATAATATATGAAATGCAATGTATGTGGTAACCAAAGTTCATCATTAATTTGAAAATCAATACCTTTAGATAATATATAAACGTGTTTGTATATATAAAGTATTAAAACTGATGCAATCACATTTTATAGGGCTTTATAAGGCCCTATAAACTATATCTGTAAACAGTACAATATATTAACAATGGTGTTGCTGCTTCCAATTATGTCACTTATATATTTTTTACTAACTATTTTTTTCAGCAGTTTTAAAAACTCCACGCATTTATATTTTGTGCTATATATCTAATTTTTTATTAATTGTTAAAAAAGAAATGACTGTCGGCATTAATTGACATATTACAAATCCGTATACTGGTTCAAGTCTTCATACTAAATGTTAAGATAATGAAACCTCAATAATGATATAGAAACTGAAGCTTATGTTGCTCTTTCTCTTCTTTAAAACTAAACAAACTTTCCACTAAACAATGACTTATTTTAACTTCAAGCAGTATTGATTACAGCCTACAGTCAGTTGGAGTCTATTTCTTTCAACTAGATCAGGTAAATGTGTGCAAACTGATTCCTTCTCCCACCTTTTTTTTTTATTTCTTATTCCAGTGATTAGAATTTTCTTGACTAGATGAATTTAATTGCATGACTGTATTCTATTAAAAATCGGTTGAAAAATTTTATTTATAGCTTTTGAGATATGCAAAAAAAAAGTTCACCATGCTTATGACAAAATTTGAAGCGGTTACAGGTAGCCAATTGGGCTTAAAATATTTTTAAAAGAAAACCTATCTAAAAAACGATATTTATGTAAAATTTGATTTCTCTACTGAATCAGAAAGTACCTAATTTTAATTATCAAAATTTAATTCTATGACAATGTGCGGGCCCATAAAAGCTTAGGTACGCATTGACCTAGAGTGAAACACCTAGTCCTACTACATCAATAAGTTTTTTTCATATATTACCGAGTTTTAATTCATCATTATGTGCGGGTCCATAAAAGCTTAGGTATGCATTGACCTGGAGTGAAACACCTAGTCCTACTACATCAATAAGTTTTTTTCATATATTACCGAGTTTTAATGCATCATTAGGTGTATACACTCAAGTGTTACTTATGTTTATGAATGTGTGCAATCGCAACTGTCCACTAACTCTTTAATTATAATTATACAAGTTTCTCTTTTACTTTAAAGTTTTCTCGGTCCAATATTGCCCATTAATACAAAACAAAAAGCAACTACTTCACAAAAGTAAATAATTAGTCCTTTTTTGCTTTAATTTATAAAAGATACTCATAAAAGTATAAAGAATTATGTATTTGAATATTATTCAGAATAATAATTTTGGATGAAATGAAACTGGTAAAATGGATGTTTCATTGTAATGTATTTCCCCGATTTTAAGGCATTGCTATGAGTAATGAAATGTAATATTTTGGAAATACTGGGATGGAACATTTAGTTATTGAGCATTCGTTTCGTTAAAGAGTTTCAAATCGGAAGAAAAAGGATAAAGAAATAAATAAAGAGGTGCCTAATCGAAAGTATATTCTGTGATAGATTATATTTAGAATAGTTAAATAGATATAGTATAAATAAATTATATAAATATAATAAAGTTTGGAAGAAGTAAAGTAAAATCTAAATTAATAAGGGAAGTTAACACCGTAAAAGAGCTTTAGAAAATTTAAAAATTTGAAATAAAACATTCTAAAAACTCTTTTAAACAGAAATTACTCCCTTATATTACTCTGTTAAACAAAATATTCCATACGAAACAAAAATGCATAGCAAAGAGGGATTGGCATTAATAGTATTAACCTTGTGACCACACAAAACAATCTTTCTACGTGGAACCATAACTGACGACGGCAGTGACGGCATTGAATACATGCAGCACCGTACACTGCGGCGTCGTCTAGCACTGAATTTACGTTACATACATATTGCTACATATACTGTAAGTACAGTGAGTCCTTTTTGGAAGTAGCTACATGGGTGAATACGAGATATCTGCTTATATGCAACAGCCGCAGCGGGAAGATTTCACACCAAAAGACCACAATGCTTGCAGTTCAATATTTTCCTTGTATTTTGCTATTATTCCCCTTTGTACTGTTTTCATTCCTTATGGTAACCGCATTGATGAGACTCACCGGGAGGTTTTTGTTTTCTGGTTCTTTTGGTTTCCTTTGGTATTACTTTTCAAGTAATTATGAGATCAAGTGGGCATGGCTAATCGATTTAAAAGTAACTTTCCTTTGGCAGTGTACGATGAAGGCGCATATAATATATGCATACATGAGGGGTTGTGTTTACATGTGCTTGCACAAAGTAATATAGAAAAAACTATGCATATACATATAAATAAGTTCATAAAAATAAGTCCAATAATTCCATATTTCACCGTACAAATTTATTGCCGTAATTGATCACTGTAATTATTAATTATGACCTTTTTTGTAAGCGCAATATGCAGCGTCATCTGTTCTCGAGGAGGTGCGCCTTTTACGTGTTTCCAATTTGTTGTCTATAATAAATGGTATTCAATTCATTCATTTTTTTGTTTTTGGTACTAAAAATTTTCTAAAAATCGATTTCAAATTTTTGAATAATTATACTCGTGTATGAATTAGAACTTTTATAAAGTTACATTTCAATAAATTGAATGTGTTATTCGCTATTTTTATATTCTAGTATTAAAATAGATTTTTCCATTTTCTAATATAAAAAATGAATATTCAATTACTAATATATATTTTATATTTATCCGCTTACAGCTTGAAACCACCGCCCAAGGATGGAGTTACGAAAAGCAATCCTTCGAAGCGTCACCGCGAACGTTTAAATGCTGAACTCGATTTGTTGGCTTCTTTGCTGCCATTTGAACAAAATATCCTCAGTAAATTGGACCGACTGAGTATTTTAAGGCTGTCCGTTAGTTATTTAAGAACAAAAAGTTATTTTCAATGTAAGTACATATATTACAACTATTATATCGCATACTTCTTATAACTTTATTTTCCTGATGAAATTCAGAGTTCCTAGAGTTTGTCTTCGAAAATTTTTAGTTTGAGTGAAATTCAGTTTAAAATGTTTGAATAGATTAAGAAATTATTATATATTGTGGGACGTTGGGACAGCGCATCACCCACTTGTTAGTGATCCCACTGAAATGAAGGATTAGCCGAAGTAGACCACGAAACAGCTTGGGTCTTTTTTCACATAACTACATCGCTTGTTAATGCAAGCAGCTTATTTAGCTTGATGTTGCCTGCCAAGTCATCACCAACCCAATGGTGTCCCAAGACAGTCTCCTCCTGCTTATTAATGCTGGACATTGGCACAATATATGCACCGCTGTCTCCTTTTCTGCTAAACATAGTCTGCAAGTGTCTCCCTCAGCAAGAGTTACCTTTTTAAGGTGATACTTAAAGTTTCCAGGTCCCAAGACACTGCCTTGTAGCACTCCAGCCTGAATTGGCTGCAAAGTTGAAATTTCTTCTCCCTGTTTTACAAAGAAATATCGTGATTCGATGTAGGATTTTAAGAAAATGTAGTAATTAGTTGGGAGCATCTTTTTAAGCTTGAACACTAGACCGTTATGCCAAACTTTATCAAATGCCTGGGATATGTCCAGAAATGCTGCTGTGCAGAACTCCCTTTTGTCAAATGCTGTGTGTATAACATTAACCACTCTGTGTACTTGCTCTATTGTACTGTGGTTTTTTCTAAAACCAAATTGATGTTCCGGAATTAGTCTCTTTCTATTGACAATGGGTATTAATCTGGTAAGGAATAAATTTTCCAACAACTTGGATATAATCGGTAGAAGACTAATTGGTCTATATGACTTAAAATCAGTTTGATTCTAATATGGTATATGTTAAGAAAGTACGTGGTTAGATGATGTTAAAGCAAATGATTGTTATACAAACTATTTTTATTTTCAGCCAATGTGAAACTCAACAAAATCTGTAACCAGTATCCTTTATAATTCCTGGCTATATGCATAGTAACTTGCTAGTCCGTCTAACCTAGTCACATTTATCTATCATGTTAGCAAAATTCATTTGTTTTGGGCTACATAGAAAGTACACATGAAGAACAAAAGTCCATTCAAACATTCAATTTCATATATTTTAATATAGCATACAGCAAAATACCTGATATCGAAAACATATCTGCAGATCAAAACAGCCAAATACACAACCAATTAACTATAAACATATCACTGAAGAAACACCTAAAGATAAGCACAGAGATCTTCGAATATACACAGTAGAAAAATATATTTAAAAAAAACATTAAGACTATTTAACATAACAGATCTGGATACTTAAGTGACACTTAGTATAACGTCTAAATAAACCAATCCACATATAATCTTACCAATCCCATATATCTTTTTCTTCTGCATATTGTAATTATTTTGTTTGCAGTATGTTCGGATAAGAATAATTTTTTAATTGTTGGTCAAATTGCTCCGGTAATGTTTTATACAAATTCTACACAAGCGAATGTTGACCCTTAAACTCTTCCAAAGGGAGGCAAGGGTCATTCATGTTAACTATTTGGTTCTGGTCCATTAACTCTTTTTCAACACACGGCACAAGTAAACAGTGTACACCATTAAATAAACAACATTAATAAGATATACTCTAAATAAAATGGTCAAGCAAGGATAGAAAGGATACAACAAAGACGCGTGGCACAGGCATTAGAATTATAACAAAAGCCAAGGATAGTTTTGAAACTTCAATATTCGTACTTGTATCTTTTGTTTATAATTGTTAGGAAAATAGTGAAATTCATTAGATAAGTCGGAAATTTTTAGCAAGTTTCATTTTTAATTGAACATTTGTATATGGAGAGCAATTATTCGTTGGATTTCAGCAGTGAAATACAGGAAGCATTTATTTTAAAAATTGTGCTCAATAGGAAAAATAAAACTTATAAGTCCGTACTTAAATATTAACTTTGTTAATAAAGAGGCACGCATGCGGTTTGCAGAGTGGCACGTGTCATAGATTTGTGTCCCTGTCACTGTCAAACCAAAAGATTACACTCTCCTTATACATAGATACGAACGCATGTTCTTTTGTAGCTCGCTAGTCCAAAGCCAGAGCCATAGCCCACCTTCTGTTTGTATTTGACCGCTAATTGAGAAAATATTTACTTAGCGCTTGTACATTTTGGTTTTCTAATAATGCGATTGCGATTAGGTGCTTCTCAGTTGGAATGGGTTAAAAATTTGCACTATTCACATTTGTCATTTTATTGGTCTATTGGCACGTGAACAAGTAATTTATTTAAAATAAACAAAAAAAACTATTTCATTTACTCAGTGTAGACTGATTACCCAAAAGACCCAAGCAAAAGAGTTCATTTAATTTGAATTATTCACTCAGACCACTTTGCAGACTGTGTCAATTAATATGCCTTATCGGCTTTTGTAATGTACAAGTACATAAAACTTTTATTCGGCGCTTTTTATTGCAATATTTTAATTGAGAAATTAATTAATTAAAACTGTCATAAAATACCGCATTTTTTCTTCTTTGCAATTAGTCGCAAAGAAAAAAAATTTAATTATAAAACGAAAGAGTAATAAAATGCGTAGGAATTGATCAAACGAAATCGACGACGGGTGAATGTATCTTAAATCGTGAAAAAAAATACTCTTTTTTAGTTAATATTTAACGAGCTATAGCTATATAATAAAAAATCATTAATATTCAATTTATTGAAATTAAATTAAATATAAAAGAAGTGGCAAAAGACTCAAGACGTCAAAAATACGTACCAGAGTAGTACGTATAGCTTCGTACCTGTATAGCGGACTGAAAGGGAGCGAAAGTCCGGTTCGTTTCGAGTAAAGCTCACAAATGTTTAAACTGTAAAAAATTATTAGACGATGAATAAATTGGTGCCGATTTGCATGAATGTTTGTATGAGCACTTTTTTTCTCAGTTAGTTATTTAAGTTTTGAAATTGTTAGAAATATGTTAAAGATTTATGTTTTCAATTCTTATTTCAATTATTTCTAGATGATTTTATAGAGTCCTTACTCTGACGGGAAATATTTCTGCATTTTCATTAGATCTGTTTGTCTTCCGCATTCGTTTAAGATTTTAAAACACATAATGGTCTCCGGAAGCCATTTTGCTAATTTCCTCTCCAATTGGCTTAGAATGTGCTATTAAATTTAACCTCTATGTTCATACAGACTGGTAAAATATTAATATAAATATTAAATTTTGTTGAAAATACATTGTTTTTAATTTAAATTTAGATATTAAGTGTTATAAGTTCTCGAACCCTTGCACTACTGAACTTTCTTGTACAACAGATTAGAACATGTGAATGTTTTCTATTTCTAGTAACTAGAAATGTTTTTATAGTAAATTGATTCATTGTAGGTGTCAAATATCTGCCATGGCAAATCATAATTTTTATATAAATATCTGAGTTATTGCTTGAATATTATCCAAACCAACCACATATATCCATACACAATTTAAATAAGTAAAGAATTCAGTTCCTTTAAACTTGAACTGTTTTGATAAAATTCATCAAGTTTGGTTTCTAGATATATTTGATTCTTTATTAACAAAAGAAAAATAATCTTATTATTATATTTAGCAGTGGCGTATATAAGGAGCATTTATAACCATTTTACACAAGATTTTTAATTTTTTTTCGATTACATTTTTAATATGATTCTTAAGTTATGTTGCAGAATTGGGTTTTGCATTAAAATAGAAGAGTAATATACAGACAATTATTAGGGATGACAAGTCATATTAATTAAAATCCCATGGTTTTACGTCCATATAAGTCTATATACTCTAAAATTGTGAACAATCTCTTACTATTATTTCGCACTAGACTGTTAACTATATTCTACACATAGATTATTTAAACAAAAAAAGTTAAATAAAACCAAGTCAAAATAATTTGAGTCATTGCCCTCGAAAAAAACCTTTTAACTTTACACATATATCCGCTACCCTTGAGTAAAAAATTTATTTGTCTGTAGGACGAGTACGGTACGTATGAACCATAACGACCACAAAATATTCTAACAACACTAAACAATGCAAACTCATTTGATAGACATTATATGCACCTTTTCAGAGAACACTGCGCCTGCATATGCTGCCTAATAAAGGATATTTTAGGTACGTACGAGAACTACGTAGCTGTAGACCGACTGTCAAACAACAAAGTCCTCTTGAGAAAACATATGTTTTATTCGTTGATTTGCCTTTTATTTTTCGCTGTTGTTATTGTTTACGTTGTTACGCTGTATTAAGGCGGGGGTAAAGCAAATGAGTGAAGGTAAAGAAAGGAAGGTAAGGAAATTGTGTTAAATTTTTCAAAATGAAAATTTATGAGTAACACAACCAGTAGAATGGACTGGAGAGCTACAGAAAAGACAAAAAGAATATCAATAACCTCTTTTAGTGCATAAACTCATAGTTTTGTGTCCCTAATCCGTGAACTTTTGCCACGTGCGTGAAGTATTGAAAATTAGTTTTGAATCATTTATGAGTCATAATCACACTAAAATAAAGAAAAACACTCTTGCTAAGTACATTGTGTGGGTAAATTTTTGAATGATACATAAAAGTAAATCTTTTCTTTAACATTTTGATGATAAAAAATATGTGAATCAATCAGTTAGTTAATAAATTCCACAGATCCTTATAATCATCAACATATTGCTTAATAGTTCACATTGACATGATTTATCTATGATCTCTGCACTCTTTTTTTTTGTGATTCAAAATCAGTTTTACCATGTAATTCAGGGCACGACACTTGTATAATAAGCAAAGGAGCCCGTATTAAGCTATTTACCCTGAAGCTGTGAACCCTTAACTCGACATGTAGAAATGGGTACAGTGACTCTGTGTGTTTTATTGGCTGACTGCGATGGGTCAAAGTTAAACTGCGTACTTAGTG